TGATTAAATTATAGTTAAATTGTAGTTGATTTTAAGTGATAGGTTAATTTTTGGTTGAATTGTATATGAATTGTAATTGAATTTAGATTGATTTTAGGCTTGATTTTTTAGGTTGAATTGTGTCTGAATTATTATGTCTGAATTGTTTCTATTAACGCTGAATTATGTCAATAAAAATTAAACCAAATTTATTACAATTTAGCTATAATTTAAACATAATTCAGAGATCTGTTTGTTGGTCAAATTGTATTATTCCAATTATTATATTTCACATATTAAATATATTGTTTAATTATATATGTATTTTGTATTATTAGTGGTTTTTTAAAAGATTCATAATCTTTTAACTTGTTACTTTAATTATGACAAAAATCTGTTTATTTCTTTTATTTATATAATTACTTTGAAGAACAAAAGTAAAATTCACAAATATTTTTGAGTATTCTTTTGAATACAACATATATATTATTTAATAATAGATTAAATATTGATTATTTTGCAATATTACTGTGTTTATATATATTTTTATCTTTATTCTCAATAATCCTTTAATAAAATTTAAATAAAAGTATTTTGAAATATCTTGAATTTAATAAAAATTAACAATTCTTTTAAAATTTATCCATAAATTAACAAAGCTAATATCTATACATTATAAAATTTTTATTTTTTTAAAATTAAATAAACATTGATAATAATTTTTATTCTAATATTTGATTAATATAACTAGAAATAAAAATTAAACATATTTAAAAAATACTTATGCACACATATGAAATGAAATAATATAACTATCTAAAAATAATAAAAATAACAAAATATCTTGAAAATCATAAAGTAAATTTCATTAAATTGAACAAATATATTTTATACAGTTTTTTAAAATTTGATTTTTATAGCATTACATATATAAAAATTATAACATATAACATAAGATTATTTTTAACATATTTAATTGATCATTTTGATAATATTAGGCTAGTTGTCAGAATGATGTAATAGCATAGGTATATAATGAGAAGTACATCTACAGATTGACTTCTAGTCTAGTTAAAGTAAAGCCAAAATTTTTTTTATGTCATGTATATCACATGAGTTTTTATGAAAATAGCATTATGTAATTAACCTTTACTCTACATATCTCTGTAATAGGTTCTTATATAATTGTTCTAAATTATTAAAAGGTTAGAAATTTCTTTCAAAAATATAATAAAAATTTTAATTTCTTGATATAATTTACTTTATTTTTTATTTTGAAATAATTTACTTAATATTTTTTTTATATGATTCATCTAAGTATTAAGTTAATAGGGTAAATTTTATTTAATAAATTACATTTAACACAATAATTTTTAAAGTCTTTTTTATTAAATACTAACCTTATGAATTCAATCTGGAGAAATTTTTTTTGCTTCATATTTTGCTTTGCTAATAAATAACATAATAATTATATGTAAAATTCTCAGAAAGACAAGTTTGATTGTATTTGTGTATGAATTATAAACTGTCAATAAATCCAAAAATTGGAATTATTTTTCATATAATTCATCATAAAATCACAATCATTTTATATTCATTAATGTCTATAATAATTTTTTTACTACATTCCTGATAAAATTTAAAATATTTACAGTGGCAGTCAAAAGTATTGCATTACCTAATCACAAATTTTAAAATCAAAATATCTCATGTTTAAGAAGATGAAGTATTATAAATCTTAATTAAGGAGTTTGTTATATTCTATTTTATCAATCTATCCAATCTTTTTTTAGGTAAATTATTATTTTCTTTTGTAAAATATAAAAATATATAAATATAATGATGCATTTATTTTGATTATTTTTTTAAATAAATATTAACATATTTAGCATGACTAATTTTTTAGTCAAATTATTTATGTAACAAATATAAAAAAGATGCCTTTAGGCATCCTTTTTCTTTTAATTTTAAAAATACTGATGGTTTATTTATCTTCTAAAAAAAGGGCTAGGATTTTTATTCTATTTGAAGAAGGATATTTTTCTCGCTATATTGCTTTCAAAGAAAAGTTTTCTTAGTTATCAGTTATAAGAATTAAGCAATGAAAAGATACCTATAGTACCTTTAAAAACCTGCCAAAATCTAGACGTCTTAGATACCTGACAGGTTGAAATAAACAAAATGTTTTGTGTCTTATTTCTTAGGATAATATACAAATGCAGTTACAATTCAAAAAAAGTTTAAAATGAAGAAAATGAAGACAACAAAATTGAAGTTAGTGAAAGTACAGTAAAGAGAACCTTACGTCAAAATGGATTAAGTTAAGAGTTAAATGTAAAAAGTTTTACCTTCGAAAAAAGCATAAAATTGCTCATATAAAATTTGCAAAAAAATATCGATTATGAACATCAGAAGATTAGAATAAAGTTATCTAGTCAGATGAGTTAAAATTTATGATTTATGGATTGGATGGTAAAGAATATTTTTAGAAAAAATAAAATGAATATTATGCGATCATCATGTTAAACTAACAGTTAAATTTGGGTGGGATAATATCATAGTGTGAAGATGTTTTACTTCTGGAGGGATTGGTGACATATGCTGAATTTATAGGCATATGAATGATGATTTATATTGTCAAATTTTGAAGAAGACCTTCTAGGAACCATTGAGTGGCATAAAATTAGGGATGTTTAAATGGTCCCAACTAACTGTAAACAAATATTGAAATTACGAGTTATAGAAAAGTCTAATCGCTTATTAATAGTAAGTAACTCTTAATAAATAATTGTAATAATAAATTTTATGAATAATTTATAAAAGAAATATGAACATTGAAATCGACAATTAACATGAGATGCCAAGGTGTGATCAAGTCGTTAGAATCAGATCCTTAGTTTTAAAAATTAAAATTCTGGGTTCCCGCATAAGTTTATATTTTTAATAAATATTCGATTATCAAATTATCATTAGAAAGTAAATATAACGCCAGTAAAATAAAATCTTCTCTAGAACTGACAAATTTATTGGGACTTTAGAACTGTTTAGGACCGCTAACATCCCTACATGGAATGGATAAAGATAATATTATCTTTCAATAAGATAATGATCCTAAATACACTGCAAATCTTACTAATCAATATTTGAGAATAATAAGGTTAAAGTTCTTGATTGGCCAGCATAGTCCCCTGACTTAAACCCAATAGAACACCTTTGGAATGATCATCTGAGGCGGCCTGAAATGCCTGTTAGAACACAGGATCAGTTGTGGGATGCAATTCAAAAATTTGGGTTGAATTGGGGTCCGATGTATGCAAAAAGTTGGTTGATACTATGCCAACTCATATAAATGATCGTATAAATGATGTAATAAAAGCTAATGGCGGCTATACGAAATGGTAAATAATAATTTATCAAAGTTTGATGTAAAAAAATTGTTTTTTTTTTTTTTTTTATTTAAAAATTTTAATGTCAAAAGAAAAGTATCATATAATTTACATTAAATAAATATTTTTTAAAGTTTGCTTTTATTACTGTGCAATAATTTTTATATCACTAAATAGACTCGTTATGAAGAGTTTAAAAATTAAATTTCGTAACACTGCGCCTACTAATTCACGAGATATTGCAATTTTAAAATTTGTGATCGGGTGATGCAATACTTTTGTCCGCCACTGTAATGTTATGTTGCTGAAGTTATTATTACTTTATCTTTTAATTTGTATAATTCAACATAACGCTACAATACTATCAGATATGGGATCATGAAACATTTCTCTGTTGAAAGGCGATGTCAAAACTTTCTGATGCGAAGATCTAAACTTATTAAGAGACTGAAGGAAAAATCAATTAGAATAATAAAAATACATGCTATGCTAATTATCAATAACTTAACGAATTTTGATCCTGATGTGAATATTTAATATCAAGGTAAAAGTAGTTCTGGAAAATAATAACTTTAGGATGACATGTAAGCGGTCAACAGATGATCACATTAAAAATTAAAATTAAACGCAAATAAAATTTTTTATTAAAAGGGTGTCAAATAATTTATTTTATATTTTACGTATATAATAATAATAACTCATTTGAGCAAATTTGAATAATTATTCACATTCATATGTAAATATAAAATAATTGTAACAAAATATTAAAAAAATATTCTCTCAATCCAGCGTAGTTATTTCACATTTATTAATTAATGAGTTATGATTTCTCCATTGCCACCTCTTCTAAAAACTCTACTCTGAGAATATCATTATATATATTTCAAAGACACCATAAATCATCTTTGGTTCTTGGTCTATAGGATTCATCCTTTGACATAAATACTTTCTTTAATTCGTCAGGTCAACTGGTGGAATTAACTAACCCCAAGATGCCCAAATGATAATAATAACCAAAATCAAAAACCTTGATATGCTTGGACTGAATGGTGATTGAGAAAAAGATAAAGAACTTAATATTCCTAAGGAAGATATCGAAAAATTAAAAGCTATTCCTGAGTTAGCCAAACCTCGAACAGAGTTCATCAGTCACAAATATCTGATAGACCAGCTTATAATAATTATAAAAAAGGAATAAAAATCTCAAATATGTTACTTTGATAAATTGCATATTAGTAACAATAGAAGGAATATGACACGTTTCATTAAAGTCAATAATTAACCATTTGTTCACGCCTACGTGCAGTATCTCAACAAGCTTTCCCAACGGAGGTTGCTAGATTCCATATATGATTTCCTGAGCATTGAAGATTAATTATAAAATGTCTATATTCAGAGTTAGTGAATGGAAAACAATGTGTACCTTGAGTGTAGTCAAAACACAACACAATGCAATAATACGTTATTTTCGATTTTGTTTAACAAACATACAGTACCTTTTGATAATAAGTACAAAAATATTTGATCCTTCCGAATTGATATGCCTCAGGGAATTAGTGAAAGGTTGCCTTTTTATCATGATATAATCTAAGGAAAATGTTTCATAACTTTTTTTTCAATCATATTACTACTCATTCAATGAAGCACTATAAATCCACGTTGAGAATATTCTGGTATCAATCGACCAAAATTTCTTCGAATATTAAAAGCTTGTATGCGTCCCACCAATTTATCAAGTGAACGGTAAACAAGTCCTTCTGCTCAAATAATGTTTCCTTCGAGATACAATAATGCCAACTGCAGAAATATGCTAGAATATAATTATCCCATGGTATATTTGATTTTATTTTAATAGTACATACAAAGATAAATCCCAGCAAATCATTATACTTTGCCAAATTAGTTGACACTCATGATTTTGAAATCAAAACCACACAGAAAAATTAGAAAAAATGGGGCCTTTGCAATAGAAAGGGGGGAAACTGCCGGGAAAAATTAATTTTACTTTATATGTCAAATATGATTTTTATGCTGAAATATGTTCAAATTTAGCATTAACTCACTTTTGATTTTTTCGGCTGTTTCCCCCCTTTCTATTGCAAAGGCCCCAAATGTCCAAAATTTTGTGTCATTCTTCTAGAATCTAGCATTTAACCAACATACCATACCTTACAATTAGTTGTTGGACAAATCAGGATGTAAAGGTAAGATTTGATTAGTTTCGTTTTATTTTTGGTTTATTTATGCAAAGCAGTAAAATGAGCCACCCGTTGAAACTTACCCTATATATTATTTATATAATGCAGCCCATTTGGCCTATAATATTGATTTCTATTCTGCCCTGATATTTATTGCATACTAAACTCCATTGTCTCAATTGTGTTGTCTACAATATTTTTCTGAGGAAAAGTTGATATAATATCTTACAAAATAAATTACGAGAGTCGGGTCATGGCTTGTAATACGAAAGGTGACTTTACAAAATTTTTTTTATCATGCTTTATATATGTATCTTGGATGAGGTGAGGGTGGGAAGTGGAGTAGTATAGAAAGTAGGAAAATTTTCGTTTTGATATCATAATTATCGACCTTATATAGGCTCTGCAAAAATAAATTTCTAAATAATGTATTTATATTAACGTTAATATCCAAAAAAAAAAAAATAATTTAATGAATTTTGTAAATAAGACGCACTGCCTTTTGTCCCCTTTGTATTCTTTGTCGACAATATACAGTCCAGTTTTCTTCGTAAATAAACATTATTTGAAAGAAATTTGGAGATAGAATAATATTCGTTAAAAAAATATTTTTTTAGCGATATGTAAGATTTCGAAAAACAACCAGCCAGCATAATAACGATAATATTTAATGGAGGCAAATAACACTGTATTTTCGCATATAATGATGAATTTTAAATAATCATTAGTAGTAAAAAAGAATAAAATAAAAAATTTGAGTTAATATTTTCATGCCTAATTGACATCTTGCCTCGGAGATCTCACTCGTTGCAACTATATTCAAATTGAAACTATAAATCTCAAGCACTAAATACTCATTATTGGATCCTTTAAATTGCATAATACACGTGATTAAATAATTAATAATTGACTCGATGATGAATTAATTTTTTTACTTAATTTTAAAAAATAAATAAAATAATTTTTATTATTTTAATTAATTTTCATATATTTATAAATACTGGTGTGGTATACAGAACGTAGTTTGTTTCTTTTACTGTAAACTTCCAATATTACTCAACAAAAACTCAACTTATTTTTACGGTTTCATGATGAGGCTAGTTATTTTGTATAAGGGATCATACGATGCACTTAGTCAGAATTAGAGTTTAGTGAGTAAAAAAAAAAATAAAATAAAATAAAAATGTAATAAAAAAAGTTTGTTTGATTGCAGATATTTAAAATGTTTTCGCGGGGGTAGGGATTTGAATTAGATTCATAAGGTTGTAGAAACGTTTCTCGATTCTAATCGATTATTTATGGCGCGTCGATTTTTTTGAACGCGGAACAATTCTCAGAAAAAAAATTTGGATTATTAAAAATGAAATGTTATTTATCATCAATTGCCAAGAAAATTTTTATTCGTTATCGTTATTCATCAATAATTTAACAAATTCTACATTTAATGAATAATTCTAGGTCAGATTTTCGTGTCCTTTTTTACTGTTTTACATTTCAAAAAAATCTTGTCTTTGGGTGATATTTTAAAGTTGTGGTTTGGATATTCTTAAATAAATTATAAAATAAATAATTTTTTAAAGAGTTGATAAATAATTTCTAACAAAATATAATGTTATATTCTTTAATAGATTTGTCAATGTTTAATAGTTAAATAAAATTTTATATAATCCAATTAATTATGCAAAAAATTTTATTCTAATTATAAAATAAAAAAAAAAAGTTTTTTTTTCTATGCGCTATACGAAAAGTGGTTTCACTATATAATTTTAAGTTGATAAAATGAATTTTCGCAAATTGAAAGTTCTATGAAAAAGTATAAAAAGCCAGTTTGAATGATATTTCACATGATGAGATTTTCTCTTTCAATGACAAATAATCAAATATCACGGACACAACAAAAAAATGTCTAATGTTTATAAGGAAATTCTTTGCTTAATATTTGAAAATTGTGGTTCCGATCTTATGGAAGAATCCTTGGTGTTCTACAAATGGAGATTGGAAATTTATCAATATAAAAGATCATTTGTTCTACACTATTTATTACCTTGTCTTTATCCGACATTAGTAAAGCATTTCCAACTAGTAAAATCAGGATAACATAATCTTCACACCGACCACTTTTAATTGATTATCTGTCATTTTGCAGGAGTATCAATGCAAGGGGGTTATAAATGAGATGGTTTCTATCCACCCTTCTTCGACCAGTGATCAATTTTATAACTTTACGGCCTTCTTATATGGAAATGCCCAATGTTAAAGTATTTGGAGTTGTGTTCACTTTTCTAAAATCAGACGGAAATTTCGTTGAACTTGATCATTTACTGAGGACTTGCCAAAAGATGAAGGCATTATTATTATCATTTTGCGAAGTTTCATATGAAGAAAGAGGGAGAAAGTTATTAAACCCGCATTAATTAGGTTTGCACCGATTAACCTAATTGGAACCTTTTATGATTGTAAATTTTCAATTAATATCTTGGAAGAATTTTTAGAGAATTGGAAAGGTCGATCAGCTCTTTATATTTTTACATCAAGAACAGAATACGATAAGTAGAATATACAAATTTAATTGATAAATACAAGTATTATAGTGTTATTAAAAAATTTAGACGTTGTTATATGGAAAGATTCATTCAATTTTTGGATATAGATTATATCATAGGTTATTTTGTCAGCGAAATTGTTTTTGCAAATTTGTCCACCATTCTTTTTTAATTTGCACAAGCATACAACGTTTAATAAAACTTCTTATTAAAAGTTGGTGCTGCATTACATTATTACGTTCTTGTATCCGGTGATATTAAAAAATTTTTCATCAGCCAAGGAATAACTAATAACTTTCATGTAACTCAACGCCCATGATTAAAAAATGATTTCGTAATAACTATATGTGTAATCGGCTAATAATGGAACATAGTAAATACTATGATCCGTAAGGTTATTTATTGTTAAAAACGAAATGGTTTTGACATTAATCTAGTAAGTGACTCAAAATCAGATTCTTCGTCGCATTTATAAAACTTGATTTCTTCACAAAAGCAAAAAAATGGAAGCGATTATGGAAGGATGGTTCCAAATATGGCATCAATAAACCTATCCATTGGCCATATCGGTAAATATTTAAGAATCTTCATCAAATCTTCTTTGCTTAGTCATGAGCTATTAAGACAAAATAAAATACAAAATTTAAAAAAAAAAAAATATAGACAAATATGAGACGATTAAAAAACATATTTTGTAATTATTTTCTTCACTTGCCTGTTAATTTTAAATCTTTTCTTTAATAAATGTTCTAAACTTTGCGTAAACATCAGTTGATAATTTTTCAAATATATCTTTCATATTTGAAGAACAAACTTTTCCTAAGGAATAAATTATAATTATAGGAGTACATCGCACATCGCATTTTTTAAGGTCCTTATTAGCACTTTTGAAAAGTTCCATATTAATATTTTACTAATATCAGAATTAAATCATCATCCTTTCATCCTTTTCATATAGAAGCGGATTATTTGTATCAGGTTTAATCACTGGCAATAAAGGAAATTTAGAGAGTTTGGCAAATTCTAAATTTTCTGCATCTTCATTAAATTTTGACCAAATTGTTCCAAGCCTCTTTTCATTTGGTATACCATTGGGATTCTATCTCATAATACACATTACCAAATTTTTTAAAAGAACTATCCCTCAATGGAACTAATGGTAATTCAGTAAGTTGTTCAAAGGAACCTTCATCTTGAAGAATATAGTTAAGCAATTCGAATAATAAATCTGATTTTTATGGATATTATCTAAAGGTATAATAAATCGCCTTTCTTGTAATTCTTCGCACTAAGCTTCTGCTGATAGGTGTGTAATTGAAGTTGGGAATCTGAGATACAGCCTCTTTAAGTTGATCAAGCTTGACCTTATCAAGTTTCACTGTTGGAAATTCTAAACGGGCCCATATATCTGTAATTACCATCTTTTCTTCCTCAAAAATCTTAGCTTCTTGTAAAAAATGAATTGGCCACCATTGACTTCGGTCCAAAAATAATTTATGTTCACCTTGACCTAATTTCTTAATAACATCTAATCCATAATTTTTGTACAGTTCAGGAGGATTTGAAAACTATAGTTCAAAAATTAATATTACATATTTACATTAAAAGCGATTATATAAGTAAACAAATAAATTTACCGATCCGCTTTTAATTCATCCAAAGTTATTCAATCAGATTGAGCAATAGTGATTCAACGCCTCCCCTTGGCTTAATAATATTAATATAATTAAAAATGAATTGGTGAAATAAATTTTCCTTGAAAATTTTACAAGTTCTTCAGATCTGATTCTCTCATGTCCTCCTATACATAAAAGCCATATTTCTGTTTGAGTTATATCATTGATTTCAATTTTAATATCTAGCTGATATGATCGTTACACTTCATTTTTACGAATATCGTGATGATCATCTGATATCATTCGTTAATTGATCAGTTCTAAGCGGAAGCCTAAATATGTTCCGGGTAATAATTCATAAAATTGCAATCTAAAGTTTCATAAGTATAGCATTGATCCAGAAAACTCTCCTTAGATTTCGTTCTCATAAAATTAATTTTAAAGCCATTTTGTCTTTTAGGTGAACATCCTTGTGCCGAAAGATATTTTTCATTTGAATCAAGAAATATGATATTTCTCTGCTTACGATGCTTGGTAAATCTGAATCTTCCTATTCTATTTTCATTTTCATTTTCATCAAGATTTTCCTCCTATTCCAAGTTTAGTCGAAGCATCGAAGTCATCATCAGAAAATACAGAATACAAATAGCAGGACCATGACAACCATCCATTTCTTTTATAAACTAACGACATTTTAGACGAATTTCGGACTTTCATCAACTGTTACTGACATCTTTGTGGCTTTAGCATCATCTGCATTCTACATTAAAGAGATAAAGAGAATAAATTATTCAGAAACAATTTGAGAGAATCAAAAACGATATATAGTAAGATAAGTTCATTACTTACTTGAGGAAATTCTTTAAAAAATTGACTTAATGAATAATCCTAATGATATTCATACAATTTAAACATTTTACAAATTACAATTTAATGTGACGCTAGAAAATTTTCATTAATAATGTTTTTTATTCTGTAGTTAGTAATTCATTCATCTTGCTCAAATATCTCCCAACCCCCTAGCAAAATTGAATTAATTGTTTACCTAGAATAAATACTAAAGTTACTCCTAGACATAATTCCTGTTGAAGTTGGACTCCTAGTTCATCAGCAATATATCGAGTTACAGATTGATGAGCAATTATGTGTTGACTTATTTCATGTTCTCTAACCTGCTATTTCTTCGTTAACCCATCTGATTAATTGTTCTTTTTTTGCTTTATCGACTGTGTTATTTTGTATGCTTTTGTTCACTAATTCTTTCTTCAATGTCATTAATTTGAAATCTATCGAGTTTTACAAGCATGATTTCGGTTCTTGGCACTAATAGTTCATTCAAATCATTCAGTCCACACTTATTATCCTTTTGTATTTGGGAAATTCCGTTAAGAGTTTGAACGACATAGTTTATTTCGTCATCTGATAACTTTCTTTTCTCATTTCCTTTCCACCATATTATTTATAATTAAAATCAACTCCTTGATGCCAATTTCATTTCGTACTCCCATTGCTTCAAATAAGGTTTAAAATCTCATAGGAAGTTCTACAATTAAAGAATAAATGTCCTCAAATTCAGTTGGAAGACGAAAGACGAATTTATCAGCTGAATAAAATGCATCTTTATGCCAAATCCAAGGTTTATTTTTCAAATCATCCTTCATAATTTCAAATTCTTCCTTATCATCTTTTTGAAAAGCTTTATGCATATATTTGTATATTGCGTTACAAATTTCTTTCAAATTCTCAGGTGATTGTCCATTAGATACACGAACATGACATAATTCTAATTGTTCTAGAACTGTTCTAACATCCGGATAAGCATTTCATCCCAAGTGATTTAGAAAGTTTTCAGTTTTAACATTGTAATTCAGTATTAGTGCAACCAAACAAACTAGGTATTCATATTCTTTATAATAGGTTTCGAAAAAATTTGGTTGCCAGGTCCGTCAACAGTAGGAATCAATTCTTTATTGAGAATAGTTTTCATGAATTCATGATTTTTATTTTTAATCAAGTTCTACTTTTCATCTATAGATTTAAAAAGGTTGAATGATTTGGTATGAAATGAATCCTGAGACTTTCGTGTGAATATAGTATTAATACGATTGATGACATCATCTGAAGAAAGAATTGATTTCATTCCTATTGATCTCAAATTCGAAAAGAACATCTCTCGAGAAATACCAAATCTTTCAACGGGAAAGGTTTGTTCGTCCTCAAAAAATATTTCTTCCATCATATGTGTATGTGGATCAAATAATTCTGTCGTTCTAACAAATCTTGTTTCTTTGTTATCTTCGCCATGCCATTTTAACAGAGTCAACAGGAATGATCGATATTTCTCCAAGAGAATTGTTCAAACTTGTATTATGATCAAGCAAACTTTGCTACCTTTCGAAAAGTTTATATACCACGATACGTTTGTCTTCTAGAGGTTGCGATTCGAGAAATATTATTATATAAATTTGCCAATAGTCAAGCAAATCTAATCGAGGAATTTTAATGGTAATTTCCAGAATAACACTTAAAATTTGTGAACTTGAAACAAGAAAACTTCCTTGATTACTTGGATAAATAATATTTCCAAAAGCATTTTCTTCATTCTGAGGAAGGAGGAACTAAATTTCCAGGTAATAATGAAATTGAGGAAGTATGGTCAACTTCGGTAAAAGTAGGTAGATGCTTAATGACTTTAATAAATTCGATATTTCGTCTTTATTGGCGAGGTATAAATTATTAGATAAATAATCAACGAGATTAGATGCTTCTAACCTATGACCAAAATTTCCTGGATACAAGGTATCAGCTCGAAAAGATTTTAAAGCTAATACAGCATAATAGTATAGTTAGATGCTCTAAAAAAAGGAAAAAAAATTAAATTATTCAAAACATCACACAAAAGCTTTTACAAATTCAAGTACTTACTCCCCCATCTATCCATTTCACAAAATCTACTTTCCACAAAAACGCACCAAATTTTTCGAAAGAATATTTTAAAGCATTATTGCTCATTTGATTAGAAATATGCCTTCATGAGTATTAAGTTATCTAAAAGTAGAACGACTTGTTGGTATTAAAAAATGTGATTGAACTTGTCGAATTTCCAATTTCTAGATCTTAGATTACTCCACAAATCGCAAATCCATTCATAATCATATCGACGACAGAAAATTCGTCTAGGAGTTTATATCTAGATTCCATACTCGCATAAAGCTTTATGCAAATCATGAGGAATCGATTAGTCAATGAGTTTGTTCAATATTTAAATGTGTTGTACTCATCATTTATATGATTTTTTCAAGGAGGTAATCTTTTGGGTATATATAAACGTAAGAATTGCCATCCGTTGTTAAAGTCCCAAACGTACTATTCGTAAGCGGAATCATTTTAAAACCTTTCAATTCGTCAAATTGTTTGTCCTTAAAATATATCCAAATAACTTTAAGACTTCATCTCTTGAGATTGTTTCTGTGTCTTGCCATCTGTTCCAATTATTATTTAAATAAGTATGAATAATGGTAGAAGAAAAAATTAGGAAAATCTCCATGATTAGATTCTTTTAAGGCCATCAGAATTGGATGGAGCGTTGCTATCACAGGACATCCAGTCTTTTTAATTATACTAGTTAATGAAAATCAAGCAATTTCTCTTCTTCAAAATATCCATTGGAAAGTGATAACTAATGAAATTCGGATTCTTGATATTGGGCATCATCTATAACATCAAATTCTGTTCCGATAGAATTGTTGATGAAGGTTCTTTATACGTGATCCTCAATGCTAAGGTTATTAATTACATTTTGTGATAGACTTTTGTAAAAAGCACTTTAGTTATATGATGCTTCTTTAATGATTGGCTAGTATTTATATGTACAGTGATTGTAAGCGGAATTTTACGGAACCTCACCCAAGCTTTTGGTAGGACATTTTCAAATAAATAAATGTTCTACAAACTTTCAGTCCTGCTAATGAATCGGCCGCCTATATTTTAAAATTCGGCATTTATTAGTAAAATACTACTTTATTACACTTAAAAAACAATAATATAATAGAAGGCAAGGTATTCACCAAATCTTAATTTCTGCGGCTTCCCATAAAGAACGTCGATTGGTGCTAACCTTTTATATCAAATAAAAAATTGTTAACGTTAAAAAAAAATAATTCATACCACGAAATATCCATGGACCGAAACGGGTAAAGGCGTAAAATAGAAAGAGGTAAAAACAAAATGAACTTCTAGCGGTCATTAAATCATTGATGAGAATAGCTAAACCTACGTTTGAGATAAACTTGTGGTCACCAATGCTTCTTTTGAACCCATTCTGAAAATATTTTTCGGTTTCGAGCAAGTCATCAAGTTGATACAAAATTAACCATGAACTATTCTCTTTATACTCTCCTTTTTGTTGCAATATAAGACAGTTCTAATAGATTATTTCCTTTAAGTTTACTTAAATTCATCATTGATCCAATAATTTTTGCTGTCAACTGACGCTTTTCTTGAATTGTATATAGTAATTCAGGTTCGGTAGCACCATTTTTAATTCATAAAAGGAAACGTGTTCAATATATTTTATGATTCATGCTCGTAAAATTTATCAAACATTTCCAAGATTGCGACAGGTTTATATATTCTGTCAGAAGTTTCCGAATCAGTAGAATCTACTCCAGTACGGAGTGGATAACGAAACAAAGTGCCGAATTTCACACGGAATTCTAAAAGGAACAAACTGATTAGGGTAATCTTTAAACATTCTCTCGTCGACGTCAAGTATGACGCCACCTCGAAAATACCGTTCATGTGGATCGAGAATTATGTATTTATCACCGGTAATGAAAGAAGAGAAATCGGTAATATGGGAGCTGTTCTATTAAAAGCTCGGTAAAAAAAGTAAAACATGAGTCTTGAAAAATCAAGCTTCTTATTTATGATACAGAGATAAGATAAAAATGAGCAAAATATCAATATTTAAACTATCGTTACATCACATTTATCGAATTTAATAACCTAAAAGGAATAAGATGAAGTACATTTGTATAATTTATGGATCGTAGTTCTGATAGTCATTTGGTTAAGA